CGCGAGGGTTTGCTATGCGTGTCCCTTCCACTCCTCTCATTCCCTCATGACTTGTACTAATTGACAAAGTCGATATTAATCGGGCTGGCCTGTCTCTTCATCTTGCTTCACGGCATAGTCACTCTCTTTGTTGCCACCACGCTCCTTAGACACATTCATTATCGACGTCTCCTCGAATACTTTTCATACATCCGACACCGTTCCTTGACCGCTACCTCCGCTTGGACTAATACACGACATTCCATATCTCGACCCTACGATGGCCGACGTCATGGCTCAACAAAGCATGTTATCTGCGCCTGCATCCAGACAAGACATTGTCAGCGCACTACTTAACGACTATGGCAACTCTTTTGGCCGAGGCGACGCATCTCCTTCAACGTGGTCGCCCGTACCTGCGGACAAAAAGCTTCCTGCGCCGCCGTCACGATCAGATAGCGGCGCACGTGAACCGCTTCCAGCTGCGTTGAGAATGGAAGCAAAGTTTCAGTTGAGAGGTAAGCAGAGATCACACAAATTCTACTATAATGGATTGCATCCGTGTTTGGTTATTCATCAAGAGCTCGCTGGTACAGACTGTGTGTCATATTGCAACCTCGATTCCGCATGCCAATGTGCTGTATGCGTGGTGATACATCATCGTTGCTTTGTCGTCGCTCAGAGAGCCGCATGGACAAAGCCATCATATCATAAACCCGAGCGAATGGTGCTAACAGAGAACAGATGACCAAGACGCACCTGTTCTCCCAAGGAGTCCGGTGCCAGGCTCCCCACCTCGACCAAGGAGGAGGATCGAGTCACGTAGCCTATCTCGCGAATCTAAGCCAGCATCTCTCAAGCTTACCATCAGCAACGGTTCAACAGCGACTGTGCCCCCTACCCCAGCATTCCCAGCACGATCAGAGTCTCTCCCTTCTTCAGCAATAGAGGAGAAAGATCTTCCACCTCCACCACCTGCAAAGTCCGAGAGGCGGAAGTCGGTTAAGCAGTCTGATGCGGGAAGCCAATCGTCAAGGCCAGCGACGGATCTCGCGAGAAACGATTCGCTTCTTTCCCAAGGCGAAAGCAGAGACTCTACGGAGACGTCTACTACAACCACATCATCGGTTATTGGGCGCAAAGCAGTACCAGACCAAGGTCTCAAAAAGTTCAAAAGTCTGGCAGAACTGAATAACGGACCGCGAGGAAGGAAGGGCGCTCCAATGCCCCCCACATCAGCGCCCAGAACCTTGAGCGTTGATAGCCAGCGATCAAATGCTGTCTCAAGGAAAGGCAGTGTCGACAGTCAAGCAAACATGCCCGAGGCTGCCGCACCTCAGCCCGCCGAAAAGCTACGAAAGACGGAAGCAGAGCTCCCACCGACACCGGGGGAAGAACAAGACACCAGGGTCCCTGTACCACCTAAGAAAGTCTTCACGGGTCTTCCCTCAAACCCTCGTATCAAAGCCCCGGCATCGCCCCTTCACTTCCGCGGCAAAAGCAGCACAGGCTTCAATGTCTTGAAGGTATATATCTGCCTCCCCTTTCCCTCTCCAGTACTTGTACGATAGTTGTCGTACTGCGTTGCAATGTTCGCAAACTCAAGGGTACCTGGATCCTGTTCCAAAAGAAGAATACTGTTTGCTGACTGAGATCTCGTAGGCAATGAGGCCGGCTCCTCCAATCCCCACGATGGAATTGCACACCATTACGCCTGAGATGACACCTTCCCCGACGTTGAAGCCAGTCCTAGCAAAGAAGGATGCTGAGATCTCTCCGGTTTCCCCACTGCCACCACCAAAAGATGAGAGGCGGCCTTTTAGCTTCGAACCTGCTGTTGCCACCACTGAGACCAAGCAAAAGTCAACAGAGCAGGAAGAATACCTCGCAATGTCGGAATTACCACTTCAAAGCACCACTCCACCAGCTGAGACCCGACTACCCATGCGCACCACATCACTAGACCCACCCGAACCATCCCCGGGCTTCCAACGACCCACAAGTGCCCCATCATCCCGCCCAACATCATCCGACCTCCAAGATTACAACCTCTCCCCCTTCCCAGGACCTTCCGTTCCAACATCACCCGTTGACGGCTTGCGCATAGAGCCCACAACGCCACCCACACCGCCTCCCTTCGAGCCCCTAACCCGCCGACCAATCCCTTTGCCCGTGTCTTACATTCCACGTATCACGCCCGCACAACTCTCCTGCTACACAAGACATTGCCACAACATCTGGTCTAACAATATATTCCAGCCCATGGGCTGCATGGTGTGCCATGAGAACGACAAAGATAGGAAGTGGGCGTGTACGTGGTGTCAGTTGCGGATTTGCCGTAGCTGTAGTGAGGATCTGAGGGCGATTTCAGGCAGAGACTTGGGAACGCTGATACAGAAGAGAGAGAAGGGGGAGGTCATGGCGCCGGGAATGAAGTTTAAGGAAGACAGGTTTACGATGGTTGTTGAGGACATCGATGGGGAGGAAAGGGGAGAGGGAATGGATAGTGAAGGTGTTGCGTAAGGTTTCTTTGGGTTTGGGTTGGGTGTCCGGTTGTCTTCTTCCCACGCGCAGTACAGGCGCGCATCGGGTGGATGAATTGCTTCATCACATGATATCACATTTACGCAACGTTGGAGTTGGATGGGAAGTTATACCTAGAATGCTGCGCATCGTTTAGCTAGCTTGGCGGCCTTCACGGCAAACTTGATTACCGTATTGACTCAATGGTATCTTGCCGAGCCAGTGTTGACTTCGTCATCTTTCGTACATGTTCTACTTCGTCTCCTTCATCTCCTGCAGTATCCTCACAACCTGGGGTAGAACCTTCTCCGCATTCTCACTTAAGCGCGCAGCTTCCCGGCCAGTATTGGTGTCCGCGACGTTTCCAAAGAAGGTTTCCTCGCCCCGGACACCACCCATGTTGAGTATCCCAATCGGCATCTGCATGTCCTTTGCTTTCTTCACTAGCCGCCAGGCAGAGTACGTCGCAAGACTACTTCCAATGACGAGAATCCTGCCTGCTGCATCGACTGCCTCTTCCGCAGCGACTTTTGTGGCAGCGGGTATAGACTCGCCGAACATGATGACAGCAGGCTTCAGCACTCCGCCTTCGCTCGCCGGGTCCCAGGCGCCATCCTTGTCGACTTGTACGTGGATTTTGCCTCCATCTGCGCGCTTTGGCGGCTTCTCCAAGCACGTGGGACACGGAGGGTATCGGAATGTGGTGTACGGGGCGTTTGGCACGTCGACGTCACCATCTGGGTTCGACTTGAGCCCTTTCTTGCGGCGCTCGTCGGGGTTCTCGGTGTTTAGGGCGCCCGATTCGATCATCTCGGCGAGGAAAGCGGCCCAGGAGGGGTTCAGGGTGGTGAGTTGGCTCTGGAAAGCCCGGCGCGAATATTCGTTGCGACAGGTGAGGCAGACGAGGTTGCGCAGGTAGCCGTGTAGCTCGATGGTGGAGAGGTCGGGGTGCGCCGTTGGGTGGAACGAGTCTACGTCTGCTCAACTCGTTAGCATGCTGTGACGTTTGCCAGGGAGGACATACTCTGCGTGATGATGCTTCCAACAACACCCATGCGCCCCAACTCGCCACAAGCCTCGTGGGCCTTGTTTGGCTTGGCCTTCTCTAGGTTCGTCCAGCCGAGGAAACTCCTCGCCCAATACCTCTTCCTCGCTTCGTGGCTGTCACAGAACTCGTGAAAGTAGACGGGCCGGTACGTCTTGTTCAGTGTGTAGGTGCCATTTGTGCCTCTGTAATCGGCCAAGCCAGACGCTACCGAGATACCTGCCCCCGTAAGCAGCAGCGTCTTGCCCGCATGCTCGCCCCGACCAAGCCGAGTCGAGAGGCTCGATTGCGCCGCCCTCGAAGGCGCACCGGACGTGGACAGGGACGGCGACAAGAAGTCGACCAAAGCCGCGATGGCACCGCTCGCCGTCGTCGCGCTCGCGGGAATCAGCTTAGGTGCCGGGAGGGGATCGGTATAGGGAACGCGAAGCAGAGGGACTCGGGGCATCGCGCAATCGCACACGCTCAAACATTGTATTTTCTCGCGTCCACCTTCGCAGAAGCCAAAGGGCGGATTGGGGGCCAGCAAGCGCGCGTGCGGCCAAAACGGTGGTTATGTCATGATACGTTTTTAGCGCGGCACCATCGAGGTCCGGGGCCCGAGATGGATTGCCAGCCCGCGCGTGCGCACGAGTTTGTCGCGTGGTAAGCCGACGGATAGCTATCGTGCCGCTGCAGGAATACGTATATTTGGGGGCTGCAAGGTGCTGCGAGTTTGTATTGGGAGTTTGCGGGGTGGGGTAGAATATAGGTGCAGTGTGAGGCTGAGTGCATGTGGGGGGCTGTGCTGTAGCTGTCACAACAACGGCTCAAACTTGAGAATGAAGCGCTCGATGAGGGCTACTGTCATGACCCGTGGGCGATCACAAAATCGATGCAGCCGAGTCTCTGTGATTGCTAGTAGGCTGAGATATGTACAGTAACGGATCGGACTTGCTCCGGATGTGTGACAGTATGACAGCCATTGCGAACCATGGCCGCGACGTGGAATAAAGGGATGAAAAAATATAACATTGACAAGAAATATATGGCTACATCATCGATAAGGGCCATCTCCATGCCCAAGTGTTACCATGAAAAGCATGTACTGGAAACTTCGAAAATGAAAAACGCCAATTAAGCCTTCCTCGCATACCCGGTCCAGATGGGAATGAATGTCCGGTTCCTCCTTCCTGATTACAGTCCTCCGTGCGAATGTCGTAGGTTCAAGGGGTATAAGGTGACTGCCAGTACGACTGGCTATAATCCATCATCGAGGTGATGCGTGCCTGAGAAAGCCACCAGAGAGGTTGCCCGTGGTATCGACTGTCTTCAATGGGGGGTATTGGGACAAAAAGAGACTGCTTGCCGCTTTTAAGGTAAGCTGAGAGTTCGTAGCGATCGTGACAACGAGATGTAAAACAGATATGAGACATTGAGAGAGAGTCAGCCGGCTGGCAATGACACTGCGATATTATTGCTGATGTGGGAGGTGATGCGAAGCGTATTGCATGGGCTGCTGCATAGTCTGCTGCATCGGTGGTTGCATTTGCTGTTGCATTTGTTGTTGCATCGGCTGTTGCATGTGATGTTGGTGTTGTGGCATTGGCTGCAGCATAGACTGGATGCTCGGTACCCGTTGCTGATGTTGGTGTTGATGTAACGGGTAGCTTGGGTATGCGGAGTAATGATTTTCGGGAATCGTAGACATGCTATGCATTTCCACATGGGGATCCTCTTGTTCTTCTTCCAGGTCAGAAATGCCTACGCCACTATCTTCATGGTCGTGGTAGGTACCATTCTCGAGCTTCTTTTGTGCCGACCTAAAGGCCTGAGTGAGGTTCTTGAGACCCTTCTCCATGCACTGAGTAGAGTCAACACCAGGTGCTTCAAAGAGTACGAAATCACGCATGACATACCTTTGTCTCTACCAGTTGCCATTTCTCTCCAACTCGGGCAGCTAACATGCTCCACATGTCCCTTCGAACTTCCATATAGGCTTGCGCTAGTACGTCCAGCTTCACGCCGTCCCACTGCTCCGCATTTTGCCTCTCCATCAACCGTTCGTGCCGTTTGCGACAGGCATTTGGCGTCTTGGAAGGGAAGTGCTTCGGTCCAATCTGGTTCCAGTTGAGACCTTGAGCCCTGGCCTGAATGAGCGTCTCATCATCTCTAGCGGACCAAGAGGAACTGCGAGTTCCGCCTGCGGCCGATGCGGTCGACACGGAAAGGCGGTGCGCCGGGCCCTTTTCAATCTTAGGCATGTTGACCAGTTGAATGAAAAGACTAGTAGGACAAGAAAGTGATGACGAGAATGGAGATAGGAAAGACGCGGCGAGGAGGAAGATGAGAGCAATGGAAGCGACCGAGTAGCGTATTATGATTAGGGGAGTGTTGGCGTAGGCGAACGAGAGTGACGGATGAGGAACGACAGGTAGGAGATATCCTTGCGAGTAGAAATGAAACAACTGCTGTTCGTACCTTTGGGTCTGTATTGTCTGAGGCTCTATCAAGGGGGCATGGCCAACATCTTTATACAGTGAGCCGCATACAGAGCCTCCATCCACGACAAAGACCAGTAGGCCACTCGGAGAATTGTTTTGAAACCAGGACATGTTTCTGTAATCGCCGGATCGATCTTCATCTACCGAGAACGGCATGTGCGACTAGGCGAAGAGGAGGCTGTTCACTGGGTCGTGGCTCCAAGCGCCATGAAAAGGGACCAGGGCAGGCCCAAATTGGGCCTGTGAATGGCCGAAGCACAAACCGTGAGCGGTTCGTCCCTCGAACAAGGAAGGGGGACTATAGCGGAAGCGCCTGTTTGAGAATATCCCACTGTGTTCCCTGATGCGGCTGTGTCTAAGAATATCCCCGCTGGCGAGTGGTGGAGGGGCAGCGATGGAGGGGAAAGGGCGGCTAATCTGATTCGGCGAGCGCATAAGTAGGGCCCAAATAAAGACCTTGGCAAGCGACACAAGGGCAAGGGGTGCCTCATCTGGTCGAACACCTGTAGGATGTCGTAGTCATCAATAATCAGTAGGGCTGAGCTCGGGGACCTGCAGATAGATGCATGTGCAGAAACGTGGAGTGGAAGGTCAGCAACCCGTTCCAAAGACGTTTTCGAAACGGCGCACTGAGCTCAGGGAGTTCAAGGGAACCTTGGAGGGCTTGAGAATAGCCGACCTCAAGACGCAAAAAGAATATGCGGCCGCCCGATAGCCCGCGAGGCGCTCACGATAGGCGCGGCCACTGGATGGGCGAGTGTGGGTTGTGGGTCTCAGCAAACACGAATTCACATCACAGCGGGACCGCGGGAAGAACCGAAAGCACGTTCTGTCCAAGGCTCCCATGAGAAGCGCCCGCGAACTGCTGCCGGCCGTTGCTGTGCCTCTGACGAACTGGAGCTTTGGAGATCAATGCCTGACGTGCTGTAGCAGTGTTTCGCAAGTGCGGTACCGCGTCGCTTGCAGCTGCATCGGATTCGACGGCACCTGCAACGCAGACCTGTGTGGGTGCAGCAATGCCGCGCTTTACTATGTAGGTATTCTAAGTAAGGGCATAGCCAAGCCGTAGATGACTAGAAAATGCGTTTCGGTAGTGCATCATACAAAGAATTTCTCGGTTCGACAAGCGGTCATGTCGTACCAGAGAAGCGTTCGTCTGACGCTGCAGCGTGGCCTTTCACACAGCCCCAACCTCGGCATCCGAACTCACCAGAATCGATAAACAGCATGCACCAAGCCTCCTCACCCCAACATCGTCACTCGTTGCAATTCATTCACCATTAAACCGCGGAAAGAGCACTCCGCACCGTGTGCCCGGAGAATAGCAATAAACATTCTGGATCGAAGTTGGGTATGGTCCATTAAGAATAGCAACTGCTCAGTACCCCAACGAATGTGTTTCGGTACCCATCCAGCTGGTCACTCTGTTGAACCAACTGTCGTGTGCCCCGATGGTCCCGAGGTCCTCTCCGAGTATACTGTATGCTTTACAACCCTCGTAGCAGGCGCGTTCGCTTGGTCCCCAACTCGCTGAACACGTGGATGTACATGGAGATGTACCAGCTTAGAATTCGTCGGCAAATCACAGTCATCACATACCCAACCACCCAAAGTACCATCAAAGTCATTGCAATCGGATCATCACGAGACGAGCGCGCAAACAAGAAGAACTCGCTGAACATGTCGGATCAACTTCGGGCTTGCATAGCTACCAGACCCAAGTCATTCGCGGAACTTGGAGTTCCGCTATGGCCTTTTGCTTTCGTTGCACGAACATTCGAAAACGTCCAGCCTGTTAGCCTCAATGCCACAGGCGGTTGGGCGACTTCTCATGAGTTGAGTACCTCTGGCGTCTGATGATTTGATAATCACGTTGTAGGTGCTCATTTTTGTGAAGCGAAACATTGGGTTTGTGTTTACCGCTCAGCACTTCAAAGGGGCAAGGTTACTCTTCCACGGCACCGCTTCCAGTTGTCTCTCTACTCGGCAAGATTTGCCCCGGGGCCTTGATCGATGACTCGGATTCGAGTCGAGCCAGCAGCCCGGTTGGTGTATGCTAAGATCGCATCCAATACTCCATCTCGGTACCTGCTACTTTGCATAATGCCGGTGTGATTTGAACATGAGATCATAGGTCCACACGCGTGGTGGTTGGCGGAGAACAAGCTCGATGGGTGTGCCGGAAGCAGAAAGGGGATACGCCAGTGCAGCCGAGGTCGCCTTGCCCCTGTCCATCATCACGATCCTCCTTGTCGTCTTCATCTCCACCCCGCAACCCCTTCATCCACTGTCCGAGCCAACGGGTATCTTGACATGTGATAGGACCGTTGATGTGGCTGAAGACGAATACACTCAGCTACGATCATGGCTTCGACGCAACGTGCCGCATGACTGCTATGGCTGCACGTGGCGCATTGGACAAAGCCTTCGCAATCTACACTCGATCGGATCGGATCGTGGTGCACCTATACAGGCAGCTTGTAGGAGACCGCCAGCTTGGCAATACAACGACTTTGTACTCCAGTCTTGAACTTAGCACTCTACACGAGATACGAAGATCAATTCAAGACCAATCACTTTGAATATACATTAGGCATGTACTTTTCTTCGTGAGCGAGTACGTTTCTCTTTGTACTTTCTCTGTTAAGAAGAGTTGGGTTGTCTCAGGCGTATGGCGCTGCCCCTAGCGGTTGTGTAACAGCTGCAGTCCCTTCCGAGATTGTCATGCGCCTTTTGAGCATCCGATCATTAGCCGGCCTAAATCCTTGACCCCAGCATTGAGCCTTGACGCACGACAATACTACTCGGTCTTATGCCTGTTTCCGTCATGCGCGTTACCCACCGTGTCTATCACTATACAACACCATGGCTAGTGCACGCTTAGTTTTGGTAGAAATGCGATATCCATACCGGCTTGGTGTTGCGGGGTTGGATTTGGCTCAAGCAGGGGCTCTTTATACAAAGGACCGTGATCTCCTTCCCATGCCTAGTTGTAGGCTACCGTCCTCCTTGACGCTCACTCGCTGATCTACAGTCATTCCTTCATCATGATTCCCTCTCTTGTCCTATGTTTCTCTACACTCGCCGCTGGTGCTGCTCTTCAGCGACGTGATCCTGTTCCAGCTGGATATGTTGCGGCACCATATTACCCAGGTAAGTTATCGGAGATAACATCGACCGACTAGTTTTGTACCGAGCATAGCGATACTGATTCTACATAGCTCCCCATGGAGGATGGGCATCGGACTGGACTGAGAGCTACCGAAAGGCATCTCTTCTTGTTTCGAACATGACACTTGCCGAAAAGACCAACCTCACAGCCGGTAGTGGAATCTTCATGGGAAGATGCGTCGGAAACACAGGCAGCGCAGAAAGAGTAGGCATCCCTCAGCTCTGCTTGCAGGACGGACCTCTAGGTGTCAGAAACACGGATCACAACACTGCCTTCCCTGCCGGCATCACGGTGGGAGCCACATGGGACAAGGATCTTCTCTATCGTCGTGGTGTTGCGATCGGCGAAGAGTTCCGTGGCAAGGGAGTAAACGTTCATCTCGGACCGTCGGTCGGTCCGCTAGGACGTAAACCGCGTGGCGGTAGAAGTAAGTGCATCAACAGAAGCCAGCCTTGATGTTTGAGCTAACAGAGACAAAGACTGGGAAGGATTCGGCTCAGATCCTGTTCTCCAGGCTTTTGGTGGGGCTCTTTCCATCGAAGGCATCCAGAGCACGGGCGTCATAGCCACAATCAAGCATCTGATCGCAAACGAGCAGGAAGAGTACCGCATGTACAACCTGGTCAAGCCTGGCATCTCATCGAATTTGGACGATCGCACGCTTCATGAGCTCTATCTTTGGCCATTTGCTGAGGGTGTGCGTTCCGGCGTTGGTGCCGTCATGATTGCTTACAACGCTGTCAACGGAAGTGCATGCTCGCAGAACAGTTACTTGATCAACGGTATATTGAAGGAGGAGCTCGGTTTCCAGGGCTTCGTCATGTCTGACTGGCTTGCTCAGATCTCCGGTGTCGCTTCGGCGCTCGCAGGACTTGACATGTCCATGCCTGGAGACATCCACACCATTCCACTCTTTGGCAACTCTTACTGGATGTACGAGCAGTCGCGTGCCATTCTCAACGGATCTCTCCCAGTGGACCGCTTGAACGATGCTGTCACACGCATTCTTGCCACCTACTTCAAGATGGGCCAGGACCAGGACTACCCGCGACCCAATTTCGATGCCAACACTCAGAACGCCGAGGGTCCTCTTTATCCAGGCGCTCTTATCTCGCCTCAAGGTATCGTGAATGAGTTTGTGGATGTTCAGGGCAACCATGCAGAGGTCGCTCGTGAAGTGGCCCGCGATGCTATCACACTCTTGAAGAATCAGGACGGCTTGCTACCTCTGTCTTCCAACGGTACCCTGAAGATCTTTGGCACAGACGCGGAGAAGAACCCCGACGGGATAAACTCGTGCGCGGACCAAGGATGCAACAAAGGCACACTAGGAATGGGATGGGGATCTGGCTCAGCGAGATACCCCTACATGAACAGCCCGATCGACGGCTTCAAGACCCGTGGCGCCAACTATCAGTTCTTCAATACGGATTCCTTCCCAGGAAACTCGAACCCATCGCCGAGCGACACTGCCGTCGTCTTTGTGACTGCAGACTCTGGCGAAAACTATATTACTGTTGAGAACAACCCAGGAGATCGGACTTCTTCGAACCTTAACCTATGGCACAATGGCGATAAGCTTATCAGGGACGTAGCAGCCAAGTACTCCAACGTTGTGGTTGTGGTACATACCGTCGGTCCCATTCTCATGGATCAATGGCACGATCTACCTTCGGTCAAAGCCGTCCTCTTCGCCCATCTGCCTGGCCAAGAAGCAGGAGACTCACTGATGCAGGTTCTCTACGGCGATGTGTCTCCATCAGGCCATCTGCCGTACACTCTCCCCAACTCCGAAGATGATTATCCCCAGTCTTTGAGCCTTGTCGGATATCAGATTGGGCAACCACAGGATACCTTTACCGAGGGTCTCTACATCGACTACCGTCACTTCCACAAGGCCAATATCACACCTCGGTACGCCTTCGGTCACGGACTCAGCTACACGTCGTTCTCATTCGCCAACGCGACCATTACTCCAGTAACTCGGCTTACAGCCGCGCCGCCAGCTCGTCCCGCGAAGGGCGAGACACCCACCTACTCAACCGCCATCCCTCCGGCTTCCGAGGCGTACTGGCCAGAGAACTTCAACCGCATCTGGCGCTACCTCTACTCGTGGCTCGACAAGAACGATGCCGATGCCGCAGCCAAGATTGGCAACTCGACTTCGACATACCCATACCCCACGGGTTACTCAAACGAGCAGAAACCTGGTCTACCAGCTGGTGGCGCACAAGGAGGAAACCCTGCTCTATTCGACACGGCATACGACATCACCGTCAGCGTCACCAACACGGGAAGCCGCGCGGGCAAGGCCGTCGCACAACTGTACATCCAGTTCCCCAACGAGAGCACAGTCGACACACCCGTCATTCAGCTTCGTGACTTTGAAAAGACGAGGGAACTGGAGGCCGGGGCTAGCCAGACGCTTAGTCTGAGGGTCACAAGAAAGGATCTTAGTGTGTGGGATGTAGTGTCGCAGAACTGGGTGATTCCTGCTGTTGGCGGTGATTATGGAGTCTGGATTGGTGCTGCGTCGGATGATTTGCATCTGAGGTGTGGGACGGCGAGTGGAAGCTGTGAGGGTGATTTGGACAGTCCTGTGTAATGTAAACTGCGTTTAATGTTCTGAATTCGATACCCATTCGATCCTGCTTTACCAACATGTCCGGCTGTTCAAGCGCTGCTCTATGCGTCACGTGTGTTTAGGTGCGGGCTCGACGAGGACTGGAAAGGAGGATCATCGCTGATTGGCCACAGCCAGGAAATGACGAGGGAATTGCGCCCATATGCGACATGATTGGCGTGGCACTGACATTTCATCCGTGGCATTCGCGTGCAGCTGCCAATGGCATCGGAGCCTTTTTCTTTTTCTCGCGTGGTGCCGACGGAGATAGTCGTTGTCGGCTGCCAGACGATGCGGCATTTGCAATGAGCGGTGTGTGCAGTGAAGGGAGGACTGGCGGATGTGCAGCGAGAGCCTTCCAGGGGCTGAGGATTGAATGCGGAGTCGAAATGAAAGATTATACAATGCATGTGCAGTGCGCACTGTTGTGCTGTGCTGGGCGAGGGCGAGGCCAGACGTCACTGGAGCTATGATGCTTTGGGCAGTTGTCTTGGTTACTCGGGAGCACCAGCGACTCCTTCCTGCTCGACCGACGTCCCCAGGGGTTCCCCATTGTCACCGCCCTTGTTCCTGAACGCGAGCGTGACAGCCGCCCGATAGCCCTTGACCCGCATTGTTCATTGTTGTAAGTTGCAGCCTCCCTGTGCAACGCCCGAGAACCCTGTCGCGCCGCCGTCACTGCGTGTACATAAACAAATTGGCCGGGTTTCAGGCGCGGCCACGGCCATCTCCCACGTATCCTATAACCCTCTGCTCCCACGCCCGCCGCCCCAGCACCACTGACGCTCGCCTCGTCCCACTGCAGCCATGTCCAACGGCGTGCGCAACCTCCGCGCCATGTTCGAGAACGGCAACGCCGCTGCCTCGCCTGAGCCCCGCGGCCGCTCCCCGACAGACACGGCAGCCGCGACCGACGGCGGCGAAGAGCGTCCCAAGTCCAAGGTGCGCGCCTCGTTTGTCTCGGTCGAGCCCACGCCCACGCCCGCCCACGCCTCGACCGACCTCGGCCAGACCAAGGGCACGCCCTCCAACAGCGTCAACGCGACCCGCCGCGAGAGCTTCCGCGTGAGCCACGACAGGACCGACGAGCTGGCCGAGCTCAAGAAGGTCGTCAGCGAGGAGAAGGAGCAGCGCCGCCAGAGCATCGCCATCCCCGAGGCCGTGCCCGAGCAGGCCGTCGCGTCGCGCGAGTCCTCCATGCCTGCGCCGCCCATCCGCGACGACACACCCACCAACATGCCCAACCTGGGCTCTATCATGAAGGGCTCCGACTTTCCGGAGTCTGCGGCCGCCGACATCGCTGTGCCGGCTCCGGAGCTGGAAGAAGTGCCAGTCGACGAGACACCAGCCGAGTCCACCGAGAGCGCTGTCGAGACCGCTCCAGTCCCCGCGCCAGAAGCAGCACCTGCCCAGCCTGCCGAGAACCCGGACAAGGCTACTACAGGCGCGCAGGAGGATGTCGCCCTGAGACCTGCCGCGCCCACCGAGGAGGCTGTCGTGGACGAAGACAAGCCTGCTCTGCCGGACGCTGCCGTCGATGACGACGCCGTTGTTGCTGAGGAGAACGCCATCGCAGAGGAGGCCGCTGTCGTCGAGGAAGCTGCCATTGCAGAGGAAGCTGAAGCTGCTGCCACCGAGGAGCCCTCTGCCTCGGCCCCAGCCGCTGCTCAGCCCGCCGAGAATACAGACAAGGCAGTGACGGGTGCTCAAGAGGAGCTTGCTCTACGACCTGCTGCGCCTGCCGACGAAGCCGCTGTTCCCGACGCGACCGCTCCTGCGCCGGCTGAAGCAGTAATGGCCCCGAGCACCGAACCTGCTTCAGAAGCAGCCACACCTGTTGTAACCAAGGCCAAGGCCAATGGAACTCCTGGGCTCAAGAAGCCCGAGATCAGGAAGCCCGCTGCCATCTCGACTGCTAAACCTGCCAAGGCTCCCGCCGCCCCTGCCAAAAGCCCGCTACCTAAAGCAGCACCCAAAACCCCTACGAAACCCAAGACGGCCGCACCCACCATCAAGCCTAGTCCAGCTGCGAAGACCACAAAGCCCGCAGCCCCCAAGGAGCCTGTCAAGGCCCCCGTTGCCAAGGCTCCCACAACAAAGGTTCCAGCCGCAAAGGTTCCAACTGCCAAGACCAGCCGCACCTCTCTGCGACCTGCAACATCTGCGTCCTCAGCGACGGCACCCACTGCTGCTGCTGCCTCCAAGACCAAGCCTGCGGCCGCACCTGTGGAGAACAAGAAGCCTGCCATTCCCAAGCCCGCCACTTCCGCCCCCCGCAAAAGGTATGACAGAGCCACGTGGGACAATGCGCCAATGCTAACAACGCTACAGCACGTCCCCAACAGGCTTTAAGAAGCCAACCCCAAAGTCTCCTACTCGTCCAGTCGGTTTACCAACCCGTCTGACTGCGCCGACGGCTGCCTCGGCTGCCAAACATGGCGAGGAGCCCAAGGTCACACGCAAGCCCTCCACCAACACCCGTCCTACACCCAAGGCCCCGGCACCAAAGACTTCGCGCCCTTCCATCGCACCCCCTGCGCCCAAACGACCTGAATCGCGCACCTCAACCGCAAGTGCTGCTCCTAAAGGAGGCTTCCTCGAGCGCATGATGCGACCCACGGCCGCCAGCTCCAGCAAGACACACGATAAGCCCCATGAAAAGCCGTCATCACCACCGCGTAAGGCTCCTGCCGCTTCCAAGATCGGCACTCTACAAAAGGGGAAGAAGAAGGCGGAAGAGGTCGTGTCCAAGGCCAGAGCAGTGGTTACGAACGGAAATTCTGAGGAGCACAAGGATGGAGATGAGCCCGCAAAGGAATCTGAACATGGCGATCGGAAAACCGAGGAGCCTATCGCCAATGAGCCAACACACGAATCGCACAAACCAGCCACTCCAGTTCAAGAGGTAGACTCGTCAGTTGCAGAACTCCAGACACCCAACTTCCCAGAGGAGACGGTCCGGTAGACGAGGGCCATTATGTCTCTGACCTAGGCGTATACATTTCTCAAATCGTATGTATTCCTGCAACACTTGGTCAAGTCTTAGGTTGCCGTACCATGCCATCTTGCACAACTATGGGCGATGTTATGTGCGCGGAGCTGTATGGCTCCCATCTTCTTTCACTTCTCAACAGCATTTTCTGGAGCGATTGTTTGGCGTAACTGATATTTGGGCGGATACCTAAGGACATGGAGCGGAGGTGGGTTTGGATAGGACTATTGCGTGCATAGTTGTTCTTTAGCGATAGGCTTCGCAGAATCTGGCAGACATCACTATTAGATTACAATCCCATTCTTCACTCCAAGATGGCTTTCTGTCTACTTGTCCACTCGTGCAATGCCTATGGTAGGGTGGGCGGGCACACGTCGACACGTGACTGGCACCTCCGCCGAAACTCCGATGGCCCAACTTTTTCCTGGCGGGCAATTCGACATTGCGAAGCGACAGCAGACCCCGCGTCGCCCCTTTGTTCAAGATGAGGGTTCAGTCTCTTTTCCGGGCGCAATCACTTGCCACGAGCAGTCTTCGCTCTTCAGCACGCTCGGTTGCGACGCCTTCACGATGCGCTCTTTCGACCATTGCGGCAACGCGCACGCCCTATACCAACGGCACCAAGACAGACACATGGATAGGGGCCCACACCACGAAGCCACAACGAAGATGGCAGTCTGCGGCTGCGCAAGTGTATGTGCTGCCATGTTTGTTCTGTGACGGCCAGAGAGCAATGGAAGGCTGATTGAACGTCATAGGCTGGAGCAAGCAAAGGAAGACCCCTCTACCTTGACGCAAGAGAAAATCGTCGAGAACCTAGACCCTGTCGAATGGGAGCGACTCTCGCGAGTGCGAAACATCGGCATCGCAGCACACATTGACTCCGGCAAGACCACCGCCACCGAACGCGTCCTCTTCTACACCGGCCGAATCAACGCCATACACGAGGTACGCGGCAAAGATGCTGTGGGTGCCAAGATGGACTCTATGGATCTCGAGCGTGAGAAGGGCATCACTATCCAGTCTGCTGCGACCTTCTGTGACTGGATCAAGAAGGACGATGAAGGAAAGGACCAGAAATACCACATCAACTTGATTGACACCCCCGGTCACATCGACTTTACAATCGAGGTAGAGAGAGCACTGCGAGTCCTTGATGGAGCCGTCATGATCCTGTGTGCTGTCAGCGGAGTGCAAAGTCAGACCATCACAGTCGACAGGCAGATGAGGCGGTACAACATTCCAAGGATTTCCTTTGTGAACAAGATGGATCGTATGGGAGCCAACCCGTGGAAGGCTGTCGAACAGATCAACCAGAAGCTTCGCATACCGGCTGCGGCTCTCCAAGTACCCATCGGCCGCGAGGATGGCTTTTTGGGTGTTGTGGATCTGGTCAGGATGAAGGCGATTTACAACGAAGGACCCAAGGGCGAGACCATTAGGGAGACCGACGAGATACCTGCGGATATTGTTGAGCTCTGCAAGGAGAAGAGGCAGAAGCTCATCGAAACACTTGCAGATGTCGACGATGAGATCGCAGAGCTTTTCTTGGACGAGCAGGAACCGACAATTCACCAGATCAAAGCTGCGATTCGACGAGCCACCATCTCCCTCAAGTTCACCCCGGTTATGATGGGCTCCGCGCTTGCAGACAAATCCGTCCAACCAATGCTCGACGCTGTTTGCGACTACCTACCAAACCCCTCCGAAGTCGAGAACATGGCACTGGACAAGAAGCGAGCAGAGGCACCGGTCAAGCTGGTATCATACAACTCTTTGCCATTTGTCGGTCTGGCTTTCAAGCTAGAAGAAAGTAGTTTTGGACAATTGACATACATCCGTGTGTACCAGGGTACGCTCAGAAAGGGAATGAATGTATTCAACGCGAGGTCAGACAAGAAGGTCAGGATACCAAAGATTGTGCGCATGCACTCCAACGACATGGAGGAAATCCAGGAAATTGGTGCTGGAGAAATCTGTGCCGTGTTCG